TCTTTATCTGTTAATCATGGCCATGAGTGAATCACCTCAAAAGTTATTTCCAGTTTAAACATATCAAGAATTTGCCCTCACGGCGATTTTCTATTTCAGTGTGCTCTTTGAGTTCATTGTGATCGATTGTTTACACTTCCGTCTCGAAACACACTGAGGTTATTTCAGTTAATCCTCAGTAGGTCTCAGACCTGCATCAGAATGACACAGAGGACATGCTGGGCATGTTGGTGTACACCTGTAGCTCCAGCTACTCGGGAAGCTGAGGCAGGAGGACCCCTGAGCCCAGGAGTTCAAGGGTGCAGTGCACTATGATCGCACCTGTGAATAGCCTCTGCACTCCAGCCTGGGCACCATAGTGAGACTCTGTCTCAAAAAACATTTTTGAAAGAAGAATGATCGGAGGGCCCGTTAAAATAGATTGCTGGCTCCAGCCTGGAGTTTCTGATGAGTAGATCTGGGGTGGATCTGAGTATTGGCAAGGCTAACAAGTCCCCCAGTAAAGCTGATGCAGCTGGTCCAGACCACACTGAGAATCAGTGATGGATCTCACCACGCATTGACTTTTCTCTAATGACATTTACTTGCTTTCCTTCTCTTTCACAACAGTATTTTAAAGAAAGTCATTCTTAGTCTTAAAGTAGGATAAAATTATTTTCTACTCCTGCCCAGAGCCACAGAATGAAACTCTCTCACAATCATAACGTCTGCCCTTTTCACTCTTTCCAAAATGACATACTTACTGCTCCAAAGAAGCCAGCCCGAGCGAACGCCTCTTTCCTGGCTAACTGCATCACAAAGTCCACCTTGCTGGCATATTTCTCCATTTCAGTCATTTCTTTCCCAAAAGCTCGAACAGTTCTCACATTTCCAATACGTTCCTCAGCTAGCTGGGAAAATAAGAAATACATTTCAGGGGGAGGAAGGCAACATTTTGAGAGTTTCGAGAAGCAAAATTTAAATGTGGTTCTCATTTTAAAGATACTATCAATGGAAAGCCACTCTTGATACATGACTAAGAAAAAAAAAAAAAAATAAGGCGGGCACAGTGGCTCACACCTGTAATCCCAGCACTTTGGGAGGCTGAGGCAGAAGGATCACTTGAGGCCAGCAGTTCAAGACCAGCCTGAGCAACATAGCAAGACCCAATCTCTATAAAAAATAGAAAAATTAGCTGGGTGTGGTGGCTCACACCTGTAGTCCCAGCTACTTGGGAGGCTGAGGCAGGAAGATCGTTTGAGCCCAGGAGTCTGAGGCTGTGGTGAGCTATGATCATGCCAATGCACTCTAGCCTGGGTGACAGAGCAAAAAAAAAAAAAAAAAAAAAGGTGACAAAGCAGAGTATACAGAACAATCTTATTTTGGGGAAAAAAATATCTGTACCTATACACATCATATACATAGGTAGGTAGAGAAAAACAGGAGAGTAGGTAGATGTAGAAATACATTTTCATGCAGAGAAAAAGATATAATGGTTAGACTCCAAAATGCTAATAATGTTAATTCTGTAAGATAGGATTATGTGTGCTTTTGTTCTTTCTCTTTGCATTTTCGTATTTTTCAGTGATAAACATGTATGGTTTTTGTAACATGAAAATATGTTATTTTTAATTTTTTTGAAAGACAGTATTGTGCAGCACTGCAAAGCTGGCTTTATTAAATTAATGAAACTCACACTTTCATCCAGTAACTATTTTCAAAACAAGATTAACTTTTTTGTCCTATAAGAAACAGTGATGATGGCTGGGCATGATGGCTCACGCCTATAATCCTAGCACTCTGGGAGGCTGAGGCAAGAGGATCACTTGAGCTCAGGAGTTTGAAACCAGCAAGAGCAAGAGCGAGACCCCATCTCTATAAAAAATAGAAAAATTAGTTGGGCACAGTATAGTCCCAGCTACTTGGGAGGCTAAGGCAGGAGGATTGCTTGAGCCCAGGAGTGTGAGGCTGCAGTGAGCTACGATCACACCACCGTACTCTCTATTGCCTGGGCAACAGAGCAAAACTGAGACTCAAAAAAAAAAAATAGTGATGGTAAGAAGAGAGAACTTCATATAATGTTTAGTCAAGTTGGGTCTACTTTGAGATGTGGGTAGAAATCTAATATAGAAGGTAGAGTAGTTCAGGTTTCTGGGATCTTGGGGTTGAACATGAGGAAAGGAAACCATTTTACTGAAAAGCCTAAGCACATCCCTCAGGGTTTGCCTTCTGGTACCTTGGCTCTGAGCCCATTCTGCTGTGGGAATGGGTCTTTACCTGAGTGGCTTGAGCCAGGGAATCCTGTGTGACTTTGGTCAGTTTCTGTAGATATCGTCCATAAATCACAGCAATGATGGACATTGGAGGCACCACGCTCAAAACAAAGGTGGCCAGATTAGGTGAGACAAAAAACTGTCAAAAGCAAAAAGAGATGTTTGTTACACAGAGTGGCAAGACAGTCTCATTACCCCACTACAGGGGGATGGGGGAGTGGTGTTTAAATTAACAGCAGGCTTGAAGGTCCTATCTCCAGATTGTGCATCCTGTTTCGGTGAACTTTTCAGACACCTTTAATCAAAACCTCATGAGTATTCAGCATGCCACGTAAAAGTAATGTGACAGCTGCTGAAAAAAGCATGGAAATATTTTATCCTCGGCCTGATACTACGTATATTAGACCATGCCGGTCAACAATAGACAGGAGGCAGGATGGGAGTCCAGCAGGGGGGCCTGTTCTACTTCACACTGGCCAGCCACAGTTTTGTGTTCGAGTCTGGACCACCTCAAGGCACTGAGCAGCCAGAGCGACGTGTCCCACTGGAAGGACCAAGACAGCAAAGTTGCCCAACACCCCTACGCCACATAACAAACAGTTGAAGGAGGACTTGAGGGACACGAGTAACAAGTACAAGAGTTAGAGTTATTTTCATGGCTCCGTGGACTGAAGTCAGCAGGATGGATCTGGGCTCAACATAAAGGGAAGCTTCTAACAATTGGAGTTGCTCAAAGCATAACCCAACTTCTAGAAGTAACAGTGGGTTTTCCTGTCAACCCTGCAATTTGGTGATTGTATTTTAAATTGTCCTAGCATCTCTTCAACAAATTATTAAAAATCTGCCAAATATCAGTGGCACAGAAAATAGTGTAATCAGTACAAGCCTCTCTTAAATAATGCTAAGGAAAAGTTGCAGACTGAAATGTAAGGTGGTGGATAGATAAACCAACCATTCATTCATTTATTCATTCATAGGTTGTCACTGAATGCCTATGCACAGCAAGCACTATTCTAGGTACCTGGACGATAACCGACCCTCGTGGAGTTTTCGTGCAAGAAGAGAGGAGAGATGGGATTAGACAACAAACGAGAGAGAGAGAGA